AAAAAAAAAAAAAAAAACCACGGGTAAACCTAGAACCGCGCTCGGCCCATGGCCGCGCGGTTAATAATAAACCACAGGTAAACCTAGAACCGCGCTTGGCCCATGGCCGCGTGGTTAAAAAAAAAAAAAAAAACCACGGGTAAACCTAGAACCGCACTCGGCCCATGGCCGCGCGGTTAATTATTTACAGTGTCGCGAAATATTTAATACTAAACCATTTAAAACGCTGCTGTTGGTGTTGTTTCTGAGGTTGATTGATTTGATTTGACTGAAGAACAAAACTCCAAAGTAGTTTTTCTCAAATAGTCTATCGTTGAATTGATCTATCATACAAATTAACATAAATTGTGCTAAGTACTGTGCCATTGAAGTACCCCCTCCCCAGAGGGGGCAAAAAGCCAACTGTTTTCAATATATAAAAATTCAGCTTGGCAGTGAGACATCGAGGACACAAACAAAGGAAATTGATGAGAAATGTCCTGTCTAAACTATTCTGAATTCGCTGGCTTTGCCGTTTATGTTGTTAGCAAGTTAAGAATAATAGATTTATATGATCAACTTTAGATTTCTGAACTCATGTATGTGTTCCTTTCTTGGAATGGCAGGATTGTGGGGCCTGGTAAATAATGCTGGAATTCTTTACTTGCTTCCCATTGAATGGACGTCGATGGACATCTTTAAACGCACTGCAGACGTAAACCTGTGGGGAATGATTGATGTCACTAAAACCTTCCTGCCCCTGCTGAAAAAGGCACAAGGACGAGTTGTGAATTTCTCAAGTGTCGCTGGTAAGGGTTATACAATAGAAAGGAAAATTAATGTATCGATAAGTGGCTTCCTTAGGGACCACTAAACACGCAATCAAACCTCATCAAATACCCTTACAGGGCTAGTGAAACAAACAAATTCAGACATTTCCCTACCTCATGGGCACAAACTTGTGATTTTGAGTGATTTTCATTTGGCCTTGAAATGATTATGTACAAACCGGATGCAAACAAACAAAGAAATGGATGGGAAAGAGGTGTCTGACTTATTACAGTGAAATTTAAAAATTATGTGTGTGAGTTTTGGTTAGTCTTGCAAATGTGATCATCCAAATCTACCGGTTCAATCCAATATAAGATGACTTGTACACAAAATGCATTAAAAGCATATCCCATCCCAAATTTTGAGACTGTTGAATGATGACCTCATAACTGCATGTATTACAAAACCTGAAGGTCTGGCTCCAGGGTTCAATAACCATAAGATAAAAGTGATATTCCCTTCACACCCTCAGGTAGAAATCATCTGATAAATCTTGGCAAATATCCCTAAATCCCTGCTGGTGCCTTTGCTGCCCAGGGGTGGACCCTAGGGGGAAGCCCCTGAGTGCTGCATGACAGCAAAAGGTTTTAAAAGTTTATTTGACTACATGTCAGCCAGAATTGTTGAACTGCTTTGCAACTGAGAAACTCAAGTTAATGAGCTGACTGCTCCTTGTTTACTTGTGTTTCCTCTTGTGTATTTCAGCTCTTCGAGTATTTTTTCTTTTTTTTCTTCAGTACTCTTTGAATTCAGCCCTGTAGAACTCCCATTTCAAAGGGTTAAGGATGTACATCAGACAATTTGAATTTAGGGAGCAGCATCATAGTTCTAAAACTGACAGGGGAAGGAGAGTTTAAGTCACAGGGCTGTTGCACCAAAATATAGGATGAGTGAAAGATAATCTTACCTGTTACTGACAAGTCTTCTGTTCTGTGGCGGCCATTTTGAATTTTGAATACGCGATCTTCTGGTGCGAGGTCTGGAATCAAGCATTCTTCGTCACAGGCGGCCCAAGCTCTTAATGTTATCCTTTTTTTTTTTCCTTTTTATGCCAATGTTCAGGCTAACGTGACATATGGCATGTACTATTACATAACGACCGAATTTGACCACGCGAAACATGACTCCCGCCTTGCAGTATATGGAGGTGTTGTGTTACAACGGTTTGAATTTATGAAGGTTTGTATGGGAATGCAACGGCTTTGCTTGAAAAGCCAATTATTCTTATATTTTGTGAATAAAATCTACTTACCCTGTTGCTGTGTTGTATTCTTTGTTGTTTGCCAGCTCCTCAGGNAAGATTCCCGCTTTTAAAGATTCCCCATTTTAAAGATTCCCCGTTCCCCGTTCCCCATTCCCATTCCCCGTTCCTCGTTTTAAAGATAGCCGTTTAAACTCAGACCCTAACAATTAAATAAATGTACACTGGCTGATTGCCGCAGATTGCTGCAAGCCGCCTTGTTTACTGTTCGTCGCATGATACAAAGTCATAGCCAGCATTATGACATCTATCAAAAAAGGAAAGAAAGAAAAATCGATTCTTCTCGATTCTTGGTTGCTTTATCAGTGTAAAACAAATTTATCCACAGTGTTTTGCGCCCAAGCCATGACTGGTTGAAAGACAACAGGAAACAAGTTAAACAAGTCATTTGACAACCAGATGTATTGAGAAGAAAATGGGTGATAAAATATTCATTCATTTGTTCGTTCGTTCTTTCGTTCTTTCATTCGTTCGTTCGTTCTTTCGCGTTAGCTCGTTCGTTCTTTCTTTGGTCACAGGCGGCCCAAGCTCTCAATGTTATCCTTTTTTCCCCCTTTTTATGCGAACGTTCAGGCTAACGTGACATATGGCATGTACTATTACATAACGACCGAATTTGACCACGCGAAACGTGACTCCCGCCTTGCAGCATATGGAGGTGTTGTGTTACAACGGTTTGAATTTATAAAGGTTTGTATGGGAATGCAACGGCTTTGCTTGAAACGCCAATTATTCTTATATTTTGTGAATAAAATCTACTTACCCTGTTGCTGTGTTGTATTCTTTGTTGTTTGCCAGCTCCTCGGGCCGATCTAACGCGATTTCGTCGAGTTATCGTTCTGTGGGTTTCCACTACTAAAAGTAGTAGTGGAAACCCACAGAACGATAACTCGCCGAAATCGCGTTAGATGGTTGCTGGGTTCAAAAATTGAGGCTAAAAATACCTTTGATGTTTACGTTTTCGTATTANCAGCCATGTTCACGATGAAATAATTAATTGTTTTTCGTAAATCTCGATGCTTGTAGACGATGATGATTATGATCATGTTTCCGAAGAAACCGCCCATCAAAATAAAACAATACATAGAAATGAAAGAAATTCTCTCTGCAGTTGTATGAAGAACATGGGGACTGCATGACGTGTTGAGTTGGCCCAGTGCAGTTTCGTTGGCAATTACAGGGATTGTGGTGCTATTTCTCAATGACATGATCTACTCCTCAACTTTCAAGTATTGTCGGTGCTGGCGCTTTAGAAACACACCCTTATATAATTTGACCTGAGACACTTCGTCAGTCGCAATCAATCGGAAATGAATTTTGAATAATTTTGCTGCCTCAGACGCTTACATTAGAAAACAATGCAAATAATTTTTTATTTTGTATTCGTATTGAAGAAAGTAATCAGTGACAGGTTTCATTGCTTTACAATAGATTATACAGATTTCATTTGGGTAGAATGCCAATATACCACATCAGAGTTAATGTCTCTGCAAATACATCGTAAAGCTCTGCAATCGCGAACTCATCGTCGTGTTTGCTCATTCGACATATTAACAGCGGGTGGAATATGAAATTTCAAAGTCCAAAACCTATTTTTTCGGTTTCTTGTTGTTAAAAGCCACATATGTAGAGACAGACCGTGTACTTATTACTTTTTGTCTATCTTTTACAAAAACGTAATTTCCTCACCTCTTAGAGAGGACGTAACTTCAAAATAAAAGCAATTGAACTTAATTAAAACTTCAGTAACAAAAGAGTCTCCTTGTTGACATAGAGTTCAAATAACACGACGAAATGTTTTTGAAAGCAGATTTTAGCTAAGGTCCCGCCCACACTAATGCGTTTTCAAAACGATACGTTTCCGACGACGTGTTTTCGCCGAAAACGCTCCCACGTCCATACTACCGTTTTCGCAGCGTTTTCCTCGTCCACACTAAAACCATGACGAAGCTAAAATGTTTTAGAAAACAGTCCCAAGAATTTACGCGCGCTGATTGGTTAAAAATAGTGTTTCTATTTCTTAAATGAGAAAACACGAAACACCACTGTTATTTGCACATGCGCAATGATGTGAATAATGTCAGTGTTTTCGAAAGCCTCCGTTTTCGCCACACTAATACAAGAGTCCGTTTTCTCGTCTACACTATGGATACTATTTTGAAATGTAAACCATGCGTTTCAAATGAAAACGATGAACGTTTTCGACCGTTGTAGTATGAACAATAGGCGAGAACACATCAAAAAGTATGCGCTTTCAATCGAAAAGCATTTTGTCGTGTTATTTTAACTCTATGCCAGCAAGGAAGCTCTTTTGTATAGTTGAAGTTTTAATTGAGTTCAATTGCTTTTAATTTGAAGTTTCTTCCTCTCGATGGGGTGAAGGAAACACCGTTTTTGTAAAAAAAAAAAAAGAAAAGAAAAAAGAAAAAAGAAAATAATAATAATAATAATAATAATAATAATAATAATAATCATGATAATACTGATAATAGTAATAATAATAATAATTACACGGTCTCTCTTTATATATAGGGCTTTTAACAACAGGAGGTCGAAATAATAGATTTGGACTTTGAAATTTCTTATTCACCTGTCGTAAATTTGTCGAATGAGCAAACATGATAATGCGTTTGCGATTGGAGAGATTTACAATGTTTTTGCAGAGACATAATCTCTGATGTGGCAAATTGGCATTTTACCCTAATAAAATCTGTATTATCTATTGTGAAACCTTTCACTAATTTCTTTCTTTAATACGAATGCAAAATGCAAAATTAATTGCATTGGTCTCTAATGTAAGTGTCTGGAGCAACGAAATTAAAATTCATTTCCGATTGATTGCGACTGACGAAGTACATCAGGTCAAATATATAAGGGCGTGCTTCTACAGCGCTAGCAACAGCAATACTTGAAAATTAAGGAGTAGATCATGTCATTGAGAAACACCACCACAATTTTTGTAGTTACCAACGAAACTGCACTGGGCCAACCCAACACGTCATGCGGTCCCCATGTTCTTAGTTCGACTGCGGAGGGAATTTCTTACATTTTCATGTATTGTGTTATTTTGATGGGCCGTTTCTTAGGTAACATCTTTATAGTCATCATCGTCTACAAACATCAAGATTTACGCAAAACAAGTAACTATTTCATCGTGAACATGGCTGCGTCAGATCTACTTTTCCCAGTGATTGTTATCCCTGTCAGTATGACTCAATTGGTAGCTGATTTATGGCAATGGCGCGTCAGTGGAATCTTAGGATCTTGGTTTTGCAAGTTGTTTTATTTCTCGAGCTCTGTGACCATCCGTGTTTCTGTTCAAAGCTTGGTGTGGATAGCAATTGATAGATTTGTTGTCGTCGTTTTCCCAATAAAACTTGGTCTTATTTCACCGAACATTCGCACAACGGCCATCGTTTCTGCTTGGATTTTTGCAGGCTTTTTTAACTCACCATCGCTGATAATTTCAGATGTTGCGGTAAACGACAACAAAAACGCGTTTTGCAGCTTTACAGGCGATTCAGTCTACAACTCAGATGTTTCGGCGGCATTTTTGTTTGCACAATTATTTGTGTTTTTTATCGCTCCGTTAGTTGTAATAACCGTTTTGTACACTGCGATAGCAATCGCTTTAAAAAGGCAGGATGGAATCCTCTCTGACACCGTACAAAATCTACAAAGGCATTCTGAAAAGAAACGAAGACAAGCGATTCGAATAGCTGTTATCATGCTATTGTATATTTGCGTTATCCCATCGACATTGCTATATTTCGCACCTTACTGGAGTTCGTCTTGCGCCTCTCGAAGACTGTTTTTTAGTCTAGCGAGTTTTGTGTATTCTTTGTCTTCCATGGTCCATCCAATAATTCGTCTGTCGTTTGTTGAAAGTTATCGCTTTGGATTACAAAACATTTTATGTCCCTGCACAAAAGCGTCGGATAACATGGCGGCGAAACGCGAGCAAGTTACTCTGCAAGGAGTGAAAAATCTTCCCGGAGAAAATTGTGGACGAGTTTTGAAGGACACAGAAAACTACAAAGACGCATTCGATACTGCTTTATAGAGATGCATTTCATAGACAACCCTAAAAGATACCGCGATGGATAAAAACGTTGACATGTCTTCTTGAAGTAATATATCAAACACGAAAGACCATGTTTGACCACATTTCCAAACACCGAGAAGAGAGTTGAAAATAGGACGCGCAGCGGAGTATTTTTGACGAACTTCGAAGTATTTGAAAATGTGGTCAAACACTGTCTTGAGTGTTTGATATATCTTCTCAATCGAAACTAAAACTAAGGAGAAAACAGAGAAATAAAATCGTAATCTACGCTAATTAAGATCAGATATCCAAACACCGTCACAGTCATGATTTTTTTTGTTTAAACTTGATGAATTTTTAATGAGTTTGAGAAGTAATGTATCAAACACGTAAGACAGTGTTTGAGCACATTTCCAAACACCAAAAAGAGAATACGACGCGTGGAAATGTGGCCAAAATCTATCCAATCTATGCTTACTAAGATCAGATATCGAAACGCCGTCATGGTTATTATGAGAGAAAACCAAAATCCTGGTGTCTCCCACAGACCGTGGGAGAATCCGCTCCCTCTCACCTGGCAGCCCTCAGGGAATGGGTATCTTTATTGATCGCTTGTTGTGTGTAATAATGTATTCGTACGTCTCGGGTTTTAAGCATTAAAATCTTGAAATTAAAATCCTTTCAATGTTATTTCTATTCGATCATTGCCATAGGTCGACTTTCTTGTAACTTTTACGGAGCTTACGCTGCCAGTAAATATGGCGTGGAAGCCTTTTCGGACGCACTCCGGCGAGAGATATATCCCTGGGGGATAAAAGTGAGCCTCATGGAACCCGGGGCATTCCAGACTCAAATTAGTGAACCTCGTAACACAGAGAAACAGGTGAGACAAGGCTGGGATGACTTGAGTGAAGAACTAAAGAAAGAATATGGAAGGGATTACTTGGAAAAAGGTAAGTGATATCCTTACGTGACATTTACAAGCCTGCATTACAGGCGTGACTTTTTGTACGAGTGCCACTTTAAATTCCGTGACAGATCCTCAGACGCATGCGCAACCTCGTTCAGAGGGAGTCTCTCTCTCTCGCTCCAGGGTCCGAGAAGAAGAGAGACTCTGGGAACGAAGGTGACGCGCGCGCGAAACCAAAGAACGCGCGTGATTAATACCTCCAGCTACTCAGCCGAACCATTCCCGAGGACGAAGCCCGGTGGCAAACCATGAAATCGTGATGAAAGTTATCTTCTCTCTGTTGCTCATTTTCATTCAACTGAGTGTGAATAAGAGACCCAGGTAGACAATGTGCAGTAATGTCGATCCGGGATCAAGGCGAAAAACCACGACGATCAAAATACAGTAGATCCTTAGCCTCTGGACACCTCCGGCAGGCGGACATGGGACATTGTCCCAACCACATACAAAGTCTACATTTCTAACGTCCCACGAGGGGACAAATTTGTAGGTCTCGAGTGTGTCTGCTTATAGGACATTCAACAGAATGCAGATTGTGCCAAAACAAACAAAAAACTGTTGAAATTTTCAACAGATATATTTTTCTCGTGGCACGCGTAGTATGATTCGTTCAGAGGTTTCCTTCCTTTGATAATGGCTCAACCACTCAACCACCTCTCCCTCTGTCAAAAACTTAATGATCTGCCTCTCACAATGGTGCTGTTATCTTTTCCAGGAATCACGTTTTTCACTTCCTTTCCGTTGTCAACCCGAACATATCAAGTCGTTGACGCTGTTGTTGATGCGCTGATGTCACAGTCACCACGTGACCGCTATCTGCTCGGTTATGACGCGCGGTTTTTCTTTGGACCAATCACTTGGTTGCCAACAGTGGTGGCCGACTTTATCCTCAGATGCTTGGTATTTAGGCTCCCAGCACCGCTACGGAACAAGTAATTCAACGCCTCGATTAAGAATAAATCACAGAAATCGGCCATAAACAAAACAACAAAACAACAACAACAAAAAAACAAACAACAAAACAACAACAACAAAAAAAAGAAAATAAAGGAAAGCGCTCATGACATCATGTTCATTGTTCAAAGTTTAAAAAGTTCTAAATGTTTCAACAAAGATGTCACGTGATCAATTCGGCCTCGCGCTGCGCGCTTGTCTGAGTTTGAAATCGCTCGCCCCATAACACCCTAAATTGTTCTTCACTCGGTCCAGCTACTATTAATTATCAAGTCGCGGTCATTGTATTCTTTTCTGGAAGCAATATTTTTATCCTGCACTGTTTGAAGCTGATATTTAAGTCTTGGCAATGTTCCCAGTTTGATAAAGTAATTTTGAGAGCTCGTAGCCCTTAAGATTACAGTCGGCATTGCAAGGCTTTCGCCTTTTAGGAATAAATTTTTTGCCAGTCACGGTGTTTGCAGTTGTTTTGCTTGTGTTACGTCTGTTAACTTTGTTGTCAAAATGCAAGATGCGTTGAAACCTGGTTACGTTACAGTCAAACCTCTTTGATACGCCGGACAGGATAGGTCGAGACCTGAGTGTCCTTACTTTTGGAGGTGTCCGTAAGGAGGGTTTGACTGTATTTCCATTGGATGTGAAATATTTTGTGTGCTGTTCCTATCTCTGGTTAAATAACAAAATTGCATTCGTTGAGTGAGTGACCATCAAGTAAAGTGACTCCGAAAAGACTCCGAAAGGTCAACGTTGTTAACGAGGCAAAAATATGTAACGAATACCACTGTTTGTGCTTATAGTGTCCAAGCGAAAACTATCTGTTCTAATTTAGCCTGTTTACAGGCTCTCTAGTCCCCCCTCGGCCACATCACTCTCAACAAGTTTCTTCTCGGCCCTTCCAAGTCCTTCCAGGTGCGGTCAGACCCTTCCATCTGGAGCCTGTTCACAGGCTAGTTTTGAGACTTTTAATAAATCATATGGAATGTAGCCCATTTTTCAGGTACACAGTCATTCGATAATAATCTCTGTTAGCTAAGATGCCCCAAACTAGAAAAGGTTTATGAAGAAACTTTTTAGTCCGTCTCGTGTTTGCGTTCATTCAAACGGCCTCCTTAGAGCTTCTCAGACCAGTTTGAGCGCGGAGTTATTAAATTATTGTGGAATTCTAGCTGCGAATGCAAGCTTAGCAGATCTGTTTCATGTTCAGCTATGTTTACATACCGTCTAGGTTCCCAGACGAATCGGATTCGAAAAGAATCTTGACACGCACTTGTTGTAAGATAAATAAACAAATAAAAGAAAATATTCGTGTTTTTTTTTACAACGAACTAGATTTCTACTGATTCAGGTTTGACAAGCAACGCCAGAATCCTTGGAAGGGGGCAGGCATTTTGACCCCGCTGAAAACGAAGGATATTGTTTCATGCTCGGGACAGGAGCTGATGCAGCTAAACTTGGTTCGCCAGTTCGTTTACGTTGACTGGTAGCTAGAAACCAGCGAGAATCAACCCTCTTGGTTCAAAAGCATTTGCTTGAATTCCAGTAAGTACAAGTGTAGATTAGTGTTATGGGACTTATAGAGCAATAGTGTGATTGGGATTTATTCTTGTTTTGACGGAATTCCGACAAGAGACATGGGAGACTGATCGGATGTTGCCGACTGAATCGTTTCCTCCAAAATTTTAGGTTTGAAGACTTGACTGAGCGAAGGTATAGATCAGATCTTGCGCTACCGGTTCCGTTCCTAGAAGAAACGGAGAATTTCCTTTGTGGGTAATCCATGACTTCCGAAACGGTTTCCTTGCATGCAAGACCCCCTTGATTGTCCAAATACTATTGTCGAAATGCTATTGCCCAAACAGGACTTGTCTCTCGCCGGTACAATCAAGTTCCCTTCTGACATAATCAAATCTCCAAACGAAAATCATCCGCGGGACTCAAATAAGGGAAAGCCGGGAGCTTTCTGTCGAAGACAGTGTTGACTTGATGGGGTCCTTGAACAACTGTTGATGTATTCGCCTGGCCTTTCCGTTTGCGGTCAGTTTTGTAATGAGGCGATAATATTGCTTCGACATATTCTTGAAAGATGCTAAATGTTGGAAGACGTTAGGTGTAAATTTCGCATATTTCACCCTCGAAATTCTTGTAAAATATATTCGTATATATGAAAAAAGAGTGTAAATGAGATTCTAGCACAAGATCGACACTTAAGCAGGTTTGTTTCATTAATATTACAAACGAAAAATGCATCTAGATTTTGGCAGGATCGATAGCTGAAGTTCAGTTTCGATATTCATATGTAAATTCGGAAAATTACAACAACACGGAGAAGAAAATTTTTAACGCGGCTCTGAGAAAAAAAAAATGATGAGCTGTACTTACCTTTGTAATTTGAAAATATGAAACGCAATGCCAAGGCTGCTGAAAGGGAGGAGATTTCTGCCTTTCATGTGTTAACATAGAGTTAAAAAAACTGTCATACAGAGGCGGAGCAATGTTCAAAGGGCGATCAATTTGAAAAGCTGCGCTTAGTCTTATTTTTTATTAAAGTTTACATTACATATACGGCCTTTGTTTCGCACTGGAAATTCATTCAAGAAAACTGTCGGATCAGTAACTTGTCAATGTGAATTCTATTTTTATTTTCAGTTATTAGTGTGATTTTAACTAATGTAGAATGGTAGCTGTTAGTAGAAGTAAAAACAACGTCTGTTAATAGATCCAGTCAGTTTTTAAACAGTTCCAAGAACTCCCTTAACTTTTGTTTAGTGTTAGTAGCCTTTGGTTTTGCTTTCAGTCCACACCAAGCCGGAGAAATTTGAAGACGCAACAATCGCCGGTATTTTTGGATTTGTGTTTGAGGAAAACTCGAGCTGGGAAATTACACGACTATCGTGATTTCATCGTTTCCGAAAAGCTCCGTTTTGAAAACGTTTTCCTTCCACACTTAAACGGAAAGCCAGCATTTTCAAATACCACCGTTTTCGTGACGGATTAGTGTGGACGGTAGGCCTAACCGGAGAAATAAAGCTGCGTTTTTAAATTTCTCCGGTGTAGTGTGGACGGGGCATTAACTTTCTTCAGCCGGCGCTAATGCATTAGGCATTAAAAGGGAGTTTCTTCAAAGAAAGAATATTCTGTTGTAACTTACACAGCCTATGATTTTAATACGTAGTAAACGTGGACTGATAATCTTAAGGTAATGGCACACACTGGTTTCAAACATCAAAGAATATTCTTTGACTGAATGAAAGGCATCATTTAAATGTCAAATTAAAGAGTATTTAACTTTAGGAAAAACTAATTGGGGACAATATTTACATATTAAAATATATCTTAGTTGGATAAAATTAAAGTTGCCACAACTTTCTGCAAATTTGTTTCAAAACTCGGGTTAACTTGCAATTGGGGAGAAGTTGTCAAACGCGGGATCGAGAGCAGAGGAGAATTTGTGCTTTGGTGCACACTCTACATTTTGAGGAAATAGGCTTGACAAAACTGGATTCATATTTTTTTATACACTGTCGATCAACCGATCAGATCTAGGCCATTTTGTCCCAAGGGTTAATTACATATTATTTGGCCTACTGTTATGTTGGTGGATGAGGGGGGAGGGGGGAGTGGGGAGAAGTTGTCAAACTGGGAGGAGAATTTATGCTGTGGTACACTCTCTACATTTTGAAACTTGCCTTTCAGGAAGTTATCTTGGTATCAGTTTGATTTTAAAGTGGATATATTTTTTATACGGTGTCGATCAACGAATCAGATTTAAGCCATTTTGTCCAGAGAGTTAGTTACATATTATTTGGCCCATTGGTATGTTGACAATGAGTACTGCTGACAAGTGATCCATAAGCAGAAAGACTTCGTTGAAAATGGAAATGCTAGCAAAGATACTAACAATGTAAACAATATAAGTAATGTAGAATATGTCACTCCCATCCAAACAATTCAAGCAGGAAATAGAATTCGTGGTCATCTTTATTGAAAAACACAGCACCACGTTCCTCACAACTACCACTGCTTTCTCACGAAACGTTCTTGTACAAGGCAGTAGTGTGCTCCAAAAAATCGGTTCTTCACGGAGGGCAAACAAGAAAGCATTTTAGAGATTCAAGTGCACATTGATCACGCTTTGCTTCATATAGCCTGCGAACGCAGGCGTATTTCCGGCTGTCGCTTGTCTCCGCCGAAAATAACGTCTGTGAACCCGAGCCAGGAAACGATTTCTGTGACGTAATGACTTTTGTTTCTCCTTGGCCAATCAGATTCCATGATAGAATGAAACTCGAGTGCTCCTCGCAGCGAATACCTCGCGCACTAGTTCTGGGGCTACTTGAGCTAAACTGTGATTGGCTTAAAATCCCTACGTCACAGAAATCGTTTCCCGGCTCGGGTTCGCAGACGATATTTTCGCCGGAGACAAGCGACAGCCGGAAATACATCTGCGTTCCCAGGCTATGCTTCATACGAACAACAACCTTGTCAATCAAGCGGCGCACAGTTTGTCTGAGTCGAGCAGTTGGTGGTTTTTAGCACAAGCGTTGTGTTTTAACAAAATACTATTGAATTATTAGGATAAGGAAAGAAATCAAAACCTTCTTTGTATTGTACTTCTCGCTTTGCCTCGTGGAAGGTACCGAAGGTATGTAATACTTTATGCTTTTGTTATTAGGCATCTAATTTTACATGGTTCAAACCCTGTGTTACGTAATCTCGACATTTTTGCAAAGATGAATTCACTTTCCTTTCAAACTAAGTGAAGTAAAGTTGAGATACAGCTTTCGAGGAACGGGTCTGATCTACATTCACCCGTCCTTATTTCGTAATTTGAAACGTGCTAAACGATGACAAACATGGACTTCCGCTAATCCTGTGATAAGTACACCGCAATTTAGTGAACCTCTCAGTAGACTGTTCAACGTGTGTCGAGAGAAACATCTGTTCAGGTTTCTCAACGTTTTGCATGCTTTTATTTTGTGTGATTTATTGCAAAACTGAGCTAGTTGCCACAACTTTATGCAAATCTGTTCCAAAATTCGGGTTAAATTACAATTCATTCCAATGATACTCGGGTGGGGCCTTGTCTCATAACAAATTCTCAGATTCGTAGTCACATTGTTTGTGATACTTTTTCTTTCTCATGACCGATTTCGAGACTTGAGCTATTTTTCGTCAATGTTTCCTTCATAATAAACCTGTAAGTTTACCGTACGTAGGTGTTTAGTTTCCGCAACGATGGCGAAAATATGACCCAAGACTCGGTCGAAAGAGAATATATGAAAGTTGTTAAATATTAAACTACGGAGAAAGATATAATGACATGAAAGATAATGTACACAACTAAAGTAGTAGTGAAAATGACGCCCCCCAAAAAATTCATGTTCACTATTGCTATAGTCGTGTAGATAGAACATTCATGACTTCATATTTAATTACGTTGCCTTTCATGGGCTATAGCACACGACATCTAGGCGCTTAATCAATTGAATATGCTAATAACTTAGCACAGTACATTTAAGAGGGAAAAAACCCTCAAGGCCAGGACAAACGCACGCAACATATCAACACATCATACGTTTGTCACTCTGTTGGTCCCTGTTGCACTAACCAACATTTTGCCACATATTCTAATTAAAATGGGAAAACATGTCAAAGATGTAAGGAACAATGTCACACTATGTTGCCTGCGTCTCTCTGGGCCTTAACGGTCATTGAGAGGTCCACAATGGCAATTTAATAAAAGCTGGTAAAAATATCTTAGATAACAAAAGAACATTCTATTTAAAGTTACCGGAAGAGCCGAACGTAATGACCCTTGTAAAGGTTGACATGTCATAGATTCCCTAAGTGCTGGACTATCTGTTTCTAAGGCTTTCTGAATTGGAATCTGTTGTTAGTTACTATTCATTTGTTAGCGTAGCCCTGGACACATTTTAACGTAGCGTGGTGCAGGCCAATAGTTTTCCTTCTATTGGTAAGAAACGGTGTCTCACATCCCCGTTGAAGTTACCTTTCGTTTATCGAAAGTTACCTTGTGCCTCTGTTTCAAAACGCCTCTTCGTCCAAAACCTTTCAGATGAAAATGAGTTTGATTTGCATGAAAATGAACCTGTAGGCAGAACACATTTCCATATGAATAGTTTCGCCCGAAGACTCGTTTTGACACAGAGGCAAAAGGCAACTCGGAAGTGGCCTATTGTGAGTGGTTTAGGGTCGGTGGATGAGAGGGGAGTGGGGATTGGGGAGAAGTTGTCAAACTGGGAGGAGAATTTATGCTGTGGTACACTCTCCACATTTTGAAACTTGCCTTTCAGGAAGTAGGCTTGATATCAGTTTGATTTTAAAGTGGATATATTTTTTGTACGGCGTCAATCAACGAATCAGATCTAAGTCATTTTGTCCAGAGAGTTAGTTACAAAATATTTGGCCCATTGGTATGTTGACAATGAGTACTGCCGACAAGACATCCACAAGCAGAAAAGACTTCATTCAAAAGGGAAACGCTACCACAGATAAAAAAAAGAGCAAAAAAAGACCAA